GGCAGGCGTTTTGATAGTTATCATTAGACCTTTAGTTGGCATCGGGCTACGCAGAGGGGAGGAACATCAAAGTCACAAAAATCGAGAGGGGGGACAGAAGAGTGATTCACAGATGTAAAAGGCAGAGAGAAGGTAAGATGAGTTCTGTGGAAGTGGTGGAACATGTCATAGAGTGGGGTCATGGTAGATTGAAGTGAGTTGTCAACTGCCGGTTTCTAGACTTTTTTAGCGTATGAGTATACGTTGACCAGGGTGCACCACCTGCAGGTAAGTCTATGGCACACCCCCGTCATTAAATATAATACAAGCTGACTATCAGCAATGATAGAGGCGAAATGAACGCTTTCTTCTTTGTCAGTTCTGCTAACTACTTATCTATCGTCTTATTCGTATCCACCTGAGAAAATATAGATTTATGACAGAGGAAGTTAGAACGATTTGAAGTGACTGACCGAGTTACGCTCAGAGATATCTTCATTCATGATGGAAAGTTAACGGGTTATAGCACCCCACTTCTAAAAAAGTTGTCCAATATTGATGCTTCGGATCAATTCTTATTCAACTTTCTCCCCCCCCCCATCCCCACGTTTTTATAATCAATGGGATCAATTTAAGAGTTGATTTAAAAGTCTGACTGACTTTCTAAAAGAGTAAAATATATCCAACAAACCGGAGTTTGTTTTACTTCTCTTCCAATTTGTCTCAAGCTCAACTGGGAGATTACTCTAAACAGTAAAGCATACCCGCAATGATGGAAGCCGCTGTTTAAGGAATTAAGCTCTTAACTGACGACAAAACAAAATATATTACCAGACGTTTTAGTTGAGCCCAGTCACTCAAACACAATCGATAACAATTAACACCTGCGACGAATGCCATCTAGATTTTTGCAGGGATGATCATACCCACATTTCATCTTTTCGGAAGGACGTAGTTGAAGGAGCACGCTTTTCAGACCTGAAAAAAAGTAATTATCGAAACATATTTTCCTATTTGAAGTTGATTTAACATATGCCGATTTTCATAAAATAAGTGCAATCGGCACATTCCGTTCTTTTGTGTTCAAAGTGGACATCCTTATCGATTAGTGACTCATGCTCCCATGAACCTTGTGACTAATTAGATGCTTTCATCGGACCATATGGGGACTCATAAGTGAAATTCCCTTTTCTCTCAAGGAGGGTATCTAACAGATATGAAAACTTGTACATGGTGTTCGGATTAAATTTCGTTTAATATTTATTTTTTCGCTTTCAAGTTTACTTACACTACACTTCTTTTAAAAGTCTTGACCATTGACCGAATTAACTATTCTTCTGGATCTCCACTCTAACGTTTAGAAGTGGATTTGGTTTTTTAATCATATCCTAAAAGTTTACGTTTTGTTTCATTTATATTAATGTATTGTACTGTGGAAGTAGCCCCTATATTTTTAAACAAATATCAAAATTCAATTAACAAAAATAAAATATTTTTATTAAAATGGAAATTCAGGTTAAACTTGTAGGATCTCAGATAATTACATTTTCGCCTGCATTCATGCTCTTACTCGAATTTTATAGTGCTTCGCTTCTGCTAAATTAATGAAGTTTGCCGGTTTTTTATTGGAATTTCATTTCACAAGGCCTGTAATAAATGCCATTTCAGGATATGGGAATTACTGCCTAACTCCACAACTAAAATTAATATAAAAAACCGTTTTTATTAAAAAAATACACACACGCACTTATTTTCTTACCTATTTAAATTAATGACACTTTTGCAACTAGATGCTGAATTGTGTAAGGTTTCAGAAAGCGTAATGTTGTCCACATTTTGTCGCAACTGACAAATTTGAATGTATTAATGCTCTACTCAAATATCAATTTGGGGAATGTTTCTTTGAGCACTAGAATGATATAACAGGGAATTTTTTGTAAATTCCTTTAGGAATTCAAGAGAGGATGCAGCTTTGGTAGCCCATGTGTAGCCACCCCTTCTATCGCATGTAATGATCAGACCGGCTGAACGAATTAGAGACTTTAAGAAAAGGCAAAAACCATGGAACAGTGCGTGCGCATCACGAAATTGAAACGTGATGCGCAGTCCAAGACATGATAAGCTAAATTTAATTGATTGTTTTGCAGCCTTTGTTCGCTTGATAATCAACCAATAAAAAGTCAAGGGTTAAGGGAGTGCGGGGCGCCAGTTTAATGGGTACATTCAATGTTTACGGAGATTTGCTTGTAACTTAGCAAATGTATTGTCCATTAAATTGACCACAAGTAGTTGGTAATTACTTTATCACCGAAAATTTCTTCTAACACTTTTGTACCTTCCAAATTACTGCTGTTGAATTTCTTTCCATGAATATAAATATTCAATAAAAACTACTTCTTTCCCCTCTTCAATTTAACTTTTTCCCTTTAAATTATCTCCTACAGTGCGAACCTATTTTACCTTGGCCGCACTCTATTTGATTAATGATTAATTAAGCACTAATTTTGATGCTGAGGTGGAGATGAGCGTACAAGCCCCAGAGGGCGTGAAGAAGAAGACAAAAGAGCTCCTGTGTCCTGTATAGTACGGAAAGGGATATTTGGTGCTTATGCGCGGGGTCACGTAAAATTCTGTTTTTTACTGCTTTTGAATAAAAGTATGATAATAATTTATCATTTTGCGTTCACTCGGGATCGGAATTTATTTTGGCCATTAACGATTATGATTGGAAATCATGGTATTTTTTGATGTTTTTTACCAAATCAAAGGTTTGTTGGACATCCATAAGGAGTTATTCGTTCAGTTGCCAATATCGAGGTTTGGTACCAAACCGCAGGTTTATTTAATTTTTATATCAAGTGGCAGGCTTTATGATTGCTAACATTAGAACGTTAGTTTACTTCGGGCTTCACAGAGAGGAAGGACATCAAAGTGAGAAAAAGTCGAGAGGAGAGGGGGGGGGGGAACAGAAGAGTGATTCACAGATGTAAAAGAGACAGACAGACATAAAGGTAGAGAAAAAGGTAAGGTGAGGTGAGCACTGTGGAGGTGATCGAACGTAGCATGCAGTCGGGTCATAGTAATTTGAAGTCAGAAGTTACCTGCCAGATTATAGGCTTTTGTCGTGGATGTGAGGAGCAGCTAACAATGCGCCTGGAATCCTCGTAGAAAACTGGAATGTGGTATACAAGTCAAGACATGCGACAATAAGACGACTATTATGAATCCACCTGTTAGTGGTCATGATCGAGGTGGCGAATGAATAAAAATGTGGATTTTCACATTCACTAAGTCTCAGCATAAGGGAAGCCGTTCTAATGTAATGCTATCCACTGTGCTAGAACTTATTTCCAGTTCATCATCTCTTCTCATTCATCTACTGTTTGAGGTAAACGGGTGACATTCTATGTAAAACAGCAGTACAAATCCTACGAAATATTCCCTACCCTCACGGGTAGGTGGGCGCTCGAAATGTTGGCCATTGACTGATTTTTTTCGAAGGACTTTCTCCACAGTCATCAGTATGGTCACAATACTTTAACTAGCCTACATTTCTTTTGACAGACTCCAATAGGCAACTCTTCCCGCAGAAAGCTCCTTTACCATTCCTCTATTCCTCAACTTATAAGTATCAAGCAGATAGCAATTTATTCTTATTAGAAAAAAGGTATTTCGACACACATCTTGATTTGAGTCTTGGCTTGGCGGAGACTCTCTGTCGGGAAACTCCAATTCTAACATTCCCACTTGTTAATGAGACTAAACACCAGTGTAGTAAGAAGCTCTGTGTGTGTGCGTGTCTTCTCCGGCCCCGCAGACAAGGCTCTAACTACTGCGACGCTGGTACACTCCCGCATACTCATTCTCCCACTCTTAATCAGGTCACCTTTTAACCTAAGTAGGTAGGAGACAGACATTAACTCCCCTTCCTCTCCTAATGCAAACACACTGTTGTTGTAAGACCACTGAGATAAACAACTTCACACTGGGCATTAATATTAAAATTGGATAAAAACAAGATACACTACTGACATAAATATACAAATAAACAGGCGCTTTCTCAGACTGGAGTAAAAGAATCATTCTACGAGAGGAAGGGAGGGCTCAAAGGTGTCAAGATGGAACTTCAAGGCGCAATTGTTCCAGGTGTCGTTCGATGACCGCTTCCAACTGAGCTGAATGTTCACGTTCATTCGCCAAGAATTGGACTGCCAACTGTTCAACGTCATCATCGTCCCACAGTGCTAAACCATAGAAGCTGTCTCCGCGCGTTCTTTTCTCCCCTTTAGGACTTCCGGATCCCTTTTGCTAAAACATCATAAAACGGCATGACTTTAAAATATCAAGATGTGTGAAAGGCATTATTTAATGGTGACGAAAATTAGACGCGCCATTATTCACTTCATTTACTCTCCACTGAAATGGACTAGGAATGATTTGAACCTATTTGTTTTAACTGACAGAACTAAGGCTATGTTGGTGTTGGCAACAACGGTCAAACCCCCACTATTTGTTCGTCAAATAGCTTCCTTCTCATTTTAGGTAAATGCATCGAATATTTCGATTGGGCTTCTCAAAAAAAACCCTTAAAATAGTGACGGGATATATTATCCAAAAAATCTAAAGCAAAGGAAATAGAATATGGAATTGAAAATGTCTTTCTTGTTAGGTATTTTTGTTCATTTTTTTGACATACAGTAGGACACTCCTTTCCTCTAGGTACCTTACGACATGTCACTCTGTACACCATTTCCTGTCAACACGCATTGATTACTTATTATGAACGAGGCATACAATTGGGGAGGGGGAGGGGGGAAGACAGAAGAATTTTACAGTCGAAAGCTCCTCTCCCATTGAGACTTGAAAAGGAGGATAAATGAACCTGAGTTAGGAAAAAAGGATGGGTGAGGAACTTCACGGAAACCATTGATGGATAGACCGACTTGAGGAGCTAGTAACAACCTTGTTTTTTTTGCGAGGGTGAAACAGTGATAAGATTCACTCTTGAACCATCAATCATGCGCACATTCAAAGCTTATCACTGTACATTAAATAATTCGGGACAGACACCCGAGTCACTGAACAGGGAGTCTACAGAGAAAAGCTGGTCACATGAGAGTCATTCAATCCTTGAGGCTGCTGGATGGCACAATACCCCGATGAGGGGGTGTGCGATAGACTTACCTCCACGTGGTGCACCCTGGGCAACGTATACTCAAACGGCAAAAAAGTCTATTAACCGGCAGCTGACTTCTGACTTCAAACTACCATCACCCCACTGTATGTCATATTACACAGCTTTCACAGTACTCATCTCACCTTTTCTCTGCCTTTGTGTCTGTCTGTCTCCTCTACATCTGTGAATCGCTCTTCTGTTCCCCCTCCCGAATTGTTCTCACTTTGATTTTCCTCCCTCTGCGAAGCCCAAAGTCAGCTAAATGGCTAATGATAAATATTCAAAACGCCTGCCATTTGAAATAATAATAATAATAATAATACCCCGATGAGTGAAATTATGTGTATGAGGTGAGACTAAATCCGTGCTCAAGGGGCCACAGTCACTGATATCCAATCAATGGCGTCTAAAAAAATAAGTGTTGGTGAAATGCGATTGCAAGAACTCAAGAATTTTTTACTACTCATTTGTGATTTTTTGTAATGTTTGAGCCAATTTAGGGGAGCTTTTTTCTAACTCTCGTCTTAAGTAGAGATTGGTATCAGAGGATATTACCGTTGAGGGACTCGAGTCATGCCCCTACCTGTATATTTGCCAAGCCTTACTAGAGTGGTCAGTTTCCACTCACAGAGTTTGTGTTGATGGGAGTTGAATCCACGACCTCTGACATGGGAGAAGAGGGAACGGTGACCAACACCCATCCACGGCTTTTAAGATTTTTACAAAGACCGTTTCCCTTCCACATTTAAACAAAAGTTTCACCAGAAACTCCCAAATTATAACAGACTTACTTTATTGCATCTCCTTACAAAAAATTATGGTGAAATTTAGCTCATTTGTCTATTCTAAGCGTTTGCATAAATAATGCGAGAATCATTTTAATAAAAATTTACCCAAGTGTGATATGCCAATTTAAGCAATGGCAAATGCGTTTTGGAAAATAAAAAGAAAAACGAAATGTCATCAATATCTGTGGAGAGAGGCGCACATCTTAAATGTCAAAGTCCCTGTCAATTATGAAAACATACAATTCATTATTATACACCCCCACACACCGAGAATCGATAAAATGTCAAGCCTGTTACCCTCTGGCAATTGGACTTGGTCGGCTAACATCAAATATGGAAATGAAACATTGTCCATTGTTTCTCATTGGCTCCTGGAACTGATTTTAAGACAAGCTCGCATTATGTTCGACCCCCCCCCC